GATCCAACGCCGTGGTCCATCGGTCGTCTGTCTTTGCAAGTCCCTGCAGCCGACGAACGCAGGCTCCAAGCCAAGCGCCGCCTCCCAACCTACTGCAGCAAGCCCGTGTGTCATCTATTGAGCATATCCCCCCCGCCCCCGCCGCCGCCGCCGCCGCCCACCCTACCCGCCGACCCGGTGGGCGGCATGGCGACACGGCGCGGGCGGAAATCGTCCGATGGAGAGTACGGCCGGGGTTTCACCCTGACCACGCATTCGTGCTGCGGGGGAGGGGGAGGGGCACCCCCGCCGCCGTAGCCTCCTCCCAAGGTGCTCCCGCCGCCCCAGCTGCTATGACTCGCGGAGCTCATTGATTGAACGCCTCTCGCGCCGCCTCCGCTGCCGCCCGCTTGCGCACCTTCGCCGCCCCCGCTCAAGGACAACGCCTATGCACACGCAACAAGGATTTGGGCAGTCGACCATTTCGCACATGAAGGTGTTTACACATGTTTGCGCGTGAGATATCGCGAAGACTTGCTCTCGGTCTTTTCGCGAGGATAAAATTCAAATAATAATGTTCTGTCGGGACAAACCTGTTTTTTTTTTTGTGCGGTTGTATCATATACATACAGGGCACGCTCGCAGAAAAACGGCCAAACAAGAACAAATGTCTGCATACGCCACGTACAACGCATGTACACTTGGCGGCATCCCCTACAGGCAATAGCACACCCATCTTTCTTGTCCGTGTCTACATATACAGCAACAGCAGTACCTGCAGGGCATCGGGGTCTTCGTTGGCGATGGACAGCTCGAGGTCTAGCGCGGTTTGCAGGCAGAAACCGCAGCTCTGGGAACCTCCTGAAGACCACGAGGGAGAGAGAGAGAGAAAGAAAGAGATAATCTAGGTTGAAAACGCTGCTCGTTGTGGCGGAGCTGGTGATCGTGGTGGGTACGGCAGACGATACCAACAACACACAACACAACCAAACCTCAAGACAAACAAGCAGGCGCCTCCTTACAAGAAAAACACCCTTACAAATAGCAGCAGCACAGAGACGACAGGACACACGGCGTCTGACTCTTGACAGCAGCGCACACGCACCACCCGCTGCTGACTGCCGTGCGTGTTGCAAGCACGACCAAGCCATGAACAGTCAACCTATCTCTCACCTCTGCACTTGGGGCCCTTACCCCCGCCAAGAGACCCCGGGCACACTGTCCTCCCTCCCACGAGCACGCCAGCGGCACACTCCACATCGCACACCTTGCACCCCAAAGGGTCCAGAATGGCGCCCCTACCGTGCTCCTGGCGACGCCAACGGGGGGGGGGGTAGTCATGTAAATGCATGTCTTTCGACCATTGACCTCGAATCTCCACAATGTTGGGACAGAGCGATACGCCGGGTTTTCGCCGGCCCAGGCGACGTGTCATCAATCAATAGTCATCCTTGCTGCTGTGCCAAAGCAGACATGCCCATGGAGGGGAGATAAATTAGCACCACCCTCCGGCGGTCATGACGGCGACAGGAAACGACCACCACCATGGCTGGCCGCCAAAGTAGAGGCAGAGCCTAAAAGCGCGGCATCCCCGGTAAAAAACGATCAAGTCGTCAGCGATCGACACTTGCTTTTGGTGTTCGTGTCGAAAGCTTTAGCTTTTGTAGAGGCACCCCCTCGATCTACATTACGCTCGAAAAACACAAATGTAGTGTTGGCATGCTACAGCAGCACAAACCCGCATGTACCAGGGCAGTGCCCAGTAGAGGTTCTCTCTCCGCTGGAGGTCGGCTGATTTAGGCGTGCACCTCCTCAAGTCCCTTCGCATGTTATGTACCGACAACGACACGCCAGCCAGCAAGCCACCAACAGCACCCAATCAGCGCGTGTTCGTGTGGCAATCCAAGCGGCCATCAAAAACAATATCCCTCCGGCGCGTGTTGTACCGCGAACTAGATTTTTCTGGTAAATAAAACGCACGGTACAGTCTCGGTCGCACTTGTCCCTTTGGGACCCGCGCCGGGCCCGAAAATAAATCGCGCGGTAGGGAAAAAGAGAGGGTCCAGCAGTATACGAACCTTCCCAGTGGGGTATCTACTTCCCGACGAACCAAGCAAAAACGACACACACAGGGTACACAGCAGAATATTCCGTACCTTCCCCATGACGTACTTCCCGATGAACTTCCCCCCATCGGGCCAGGTGAGCATCCCGTCCCCGTGAGCCGTGCCGTCTCGGAACCAGCCCTCGAATTGAGCACCGTTTGGGCTAGTCATATAGCCTGACCCATGCCGTACTCCTTGGCGATACTCTCCCCGAAACCTGCAAAGAGATGAACCGAAACCAGCGGGGGATGGGGTCAGGGGTAAGGGCTACCACGCTGCCAAGGTGGGGTTAAGCAGAGAGAGGGGGGGCGGAGTAAGGGGAGGCCACGGACGAGGCAAAGCTATTGATATTTTTTCGCCCCACGCTTGTAGTGGCCAAAGAAACAAAATACACATTTACGGACACACGCACGCGCGAAGGATTGGTAGAGAGACATGTACATCCTCTCTGGCATTCGCATTCAGCGCAATGCGCATTTCTCGAACTAATTTGGGTCCCCTTTCCAGGAACCTGGATTTTACCCGTGGGCACTCTGACGTCTTTTTCGTTGGCTAGCCCGTGAGCGCGGTCGGTGCAAAAAAATAGAAGCATACCTGTATACGAGCCCGATCACTTAGCAAGTGTGCTCGCGTTTGTAATCCCACTGGAAGCTAGCCGACGTCTTGTGATTTTCATTGGTCAGACCGTTAGCGTGGTCGATGCCGAGCAAAAAAGACACGCACGCACACACAACACAAAACTGCTCCGCCCGTAAGCGTGGAGCACGAGTTGACGGACTTCGTCGAGTGTGCCCTTGTCTCTCCCTTCCTAAGCCCCCCCCCCCCCCTCCCCCGCCGGACCCTCTCACCGAACGCCATCCACGTCTACGAAATTTCCGGTTCCGTGTTTCTCTCCCTTCTCGAAATGGCCCGTGTACTTAGCTCCCGACATGTGAGTCAAGTTCCCTCGCCCATGCCACTCCCCTCGGTGCCACTTTTTTCATAGAAATGGGGGGGGGGGGGGGGGGGTAGAAGAGGTTACGACAACAAGATATTGTGCGCACAACGCAAAGACGAGGTCAGCCGGCTAAATAGCGCTACCGACACTAAGTGAGCATTGTGAAATAAAACACAGAACGCATAATCGGGGGTGAGGGTACACCCGATACGCATGCTCGATTCATACCAGCGGGTTTCGTTAAGCATTGGGATGCGGCCCGCGCACTGCTCGTTGTCCGGACGCGCTAATCGGTGAGAGGTAACTCCACCCCATTCCTTCCACCGCACAACGCGCCTCGACGCTTCCGCCTTAGTCCTAGCCCTGACCGTAAGACTGCCGCCGAAAAGCAATGGGCAAGCTTAAAGCCTCACCACATGTATGTCCGGAAGCGCAGCGAGCGAGGGGATGATGGCATCCTAACCCCCCCCCCCCTCCCTCCCCATTGCCACCACCACCGCCATCAACGACAACAACAACAACAGGTCACGCGAGCCCGTGCCCCCACCCACCTGTCCAAGGTAAACGTCCCCCGAAGTATAAAACGCCGCGCCGTGGCCGTGCCGGACTCCATCGCGCTCGTCGCCGAGGTACCACTCCTCGCAGGACCCGGGGTTATTTGCCACCTACGAGGAAGAAATACATTAACATTGCCACAAAAAACTGAGACAGCATTCATCGCGCTTTGCCGTTAATTGCCACCTTCTGCCATAAGAACAAAGATTGCAACAACACACTCGAGTAACTGTCATCACGCTTTACGTTTCTTGCCCCCTAATCGAAGAAACACCGCAGCACGGGAAACAAAAAAACCAGAGCAGCATTACGCGGTAAATATGCATACAGTGCAACAGCAGTGCGGAAGATTCCACCAAACGGGGGAGCCGAGTCGCGAGGCTATTATGCTACCAGAAGCGGCGCAACAGCACCCCGACTGGGGCAAGGATTTTTGAACTACTACAATAGTATGCATACAATACATTGGTGCCGCTACTAAAAATCCCAAACCTCACCCTCAAAATCCACCGCAACCTTCGTACGTCGTGTGCCTCGGCTTCCTCCGGGGTGATGTCGTCTGCCAACTCGCTCATTGAAGCCTGCTGCTTTGCGTCGAAGCATTGCAGTTCGCGCACGTGGGTCCGGACCAACGAGAACAGGGGGGGGGGGCACCGTCATTCATTCATTCGCTCGTGGCGAGGTGACATGCTGTCCTGTCAATGTGTTGTGTGTGTTGCTGCTAACCAACCCTCAAAGCCACAGCAGCTGCTTGTAACTAACTAAAAAAAAAAAAAAAATCGCGCCGCACCACACACCAGTTATTCTCGTCTGGATTTTTTTGCGTCGGTTGGGAACAAAAGCGCAAGGTTTCGCAGTAATTTTTGCAACCTGTTCGTGACTCTTCCTATCTAACCGGTTTCACGCCCTCTGATTGGTCCGGCGTTGGTTCCTAGCCTTGACCCTCTCCAGCGTCCTCTCGCCGTATCCGAGAACGCGGCGCAGACGCGTTCTCGACCAGTTCGCGGCCGCTTGGCCGTGCTTTGGCCGTGGGTGAGGGTTAGGGTTAGGGTAGATGTGGGTGAGGAACCTAGCCTTGCTCGCGTGAGGAACTTAGCCTTGCAAAGTGCAACATCGGTTGGACCTAAAGAGTCACTAACAGAGTGTAAATAGACCTCAGGTTTCGTCTCCTGAAGCACCGTCGAGGAACAAAATAATTTCAAGCATGATGTTGTGCTGGCGCGATTTACAAGAAATAAGTCTACATTTCGTCACAAGACGTTTGACAAAGAAAATAAAAACGGCGTGGGAAAATTGGCCTCAACCGCGGGCACCACAATAAATCCTATGAAGCGATAGTCTGTGCTCAATCGTCGAGACAACGCTAAGGGTAAACTGCGGTAGGATTCAACACACGTGGTAATTTTTTCATTTAATGTTTTTTTTTTTTTCGCCAAGATCTTGATGGGATGGTTCCAAGTACGGCGTTTGTTGGCACCGCCGCTTGCTTCTGCTGTGGAGGAAGGACAAACCGGCTCAGGCGGGTGTGGTATCTTACGCAACCTAGGGTGCATCTACCAAAGGGTACATGTACCCATGGTAGATATACCCATGATACCCATGGTAGATGTAGATGGTGTTCCGGGAAACAACCCACAAAAACGGGCTGGCGGACACAACCCGCCCCCACCTGTTCCAAAAAACGACCCACAACAGATATACCCCTACCTAGCCGGTCGGGCATGATTCAGAGAGTCAAAATCCACGACTTCGCGAAAGCTCGCCGCAGGCAGTCGCGGAACACAAAAAAAATGGCACAGCATGTGTGGTATACGGCAGCGAGCACATATTATAGTCCCATGGCAAGGATAGATTTTCATCACGCGACGGATTCTCGCAGCATGCAGAGATTGCATGTTGCATGTGTATAAATCATGCGCGATGGATGTCGGTTACCAGGGAGGGACTGCTGTTTGTTGTTGATGTCGAACTTGCGATTATCCGGCCCACATCTCCTTCCTTCCTTCATCATCATCATCAGGTTGAGCGCGAAGCAAGTAGAGAGGGACACCGCCTCCGCGAGATTAATAAAATAACATGAGTTTAGGAGCATATGGAACAGGCTGGCAGAGGGGACGCAGACCCTATCCCCTAACCCTCTGACCCTTCCCTGATTGTTGCTTTATCAAACATGTTTCTATAAATCAAACCTGCAACCCTTTCGACTGACTTACGGCTATAATATCGTTAGTCTATATGTCGAACGGGTAGTCTTGTAGTCCAGTCCTTGCGTGAATTTATGCACTTTCGGACAAACCCTGCCACCCGTGCGAAGGGTACTGAACGAAGTAGAGTAGGTGGGTGTACCCCCTGCCGCGCGGGGGATCCTATTGTGCTGCTGTGTCGATAGGTTGCACGTGTGCTGCCAGGAACGTGGTGTTCGAAACAGATAGGGTAACCAACAGGTTGTTGGGAGGGTCTGGAAAGTTTGTTCTGTTTTCGAGTGCAAGCGTACCAACCTCTCCTCTTTTCCGCCGTCGCATGTAACAACAAACAACTATGTTGCAGGTAGCGGGTGGCGAGCAAAGAGTATTGCAGAGCTTGCGTGAACGTTGTTGCTCAGCGTGCAAGGGGCAGGAATCAATCAACAAAGGCGCGCTACGCACGGTGTAGGATGAAAACTCCGTTCCCAAGAATGATATGTCGACACTGCTGTAGTCTGAGCGGGGCGCTGCTGCTGTAATCCTCTGAAAGAAAAAGTAGCCCGCTGCTTCAAGTCTCCGTACATGAATGCATGCCAGATGAATCCTCCAACAACAGGCGAAACAAGGGTCCTCAGTTCGCAGGGCCCGCACTGCCGCCAGGGAGGCATAGGCATCGCGCCCGAAGCAAGCCTCGCAAGCGGGGATGAAGGCGGATGAGCTGCTGCTGTTATGTCCACACATCCCAGCACACGCCTTTTTTCCCCCGATGTACCCGGCCCGCCGGGGCCGCCGGCTCATTTGAAACAAGCGTGGAAAAAAGTGGTGCAGCAGCCGGCATGCAAAAAGCACCGAGCGAAGCATGGCCCTCGGAACATGGGAGGCGGCGGCGGGGGGGGGGGGGGGCGGGCGCTCCCGTTCTGCCTTTACGCCAGGGATTGCTTCGCGTTCCCGAAGCTCTCACCTTGATCGCCATGCTTTGGCCCGCGCCCATGTCTCGAGTCGACAGAAGAAAGAAAGACGTCCTCCTCTCGCTGCTGTGAAGGAGAGGGCTAACACCTCTGGCCCTTCAACTACTGCTCCTCTTTCTCTCGCTCCCCTCTCGAGGAAGCTCTCTGCTGCGTAGCGTTTGGTTGTCTCGTCCAGCACGGCGGGCAGCGGGGCTCAAAGGGTCGGGAACCCTAGGGGGCAGTATATGCTTGATACGTATACGATGTTCGACGAGGCAGCCAGGGGGAGAGAGAGGGGAGAACATGGATACGTTCCTCGCCAGGGGAGAGGGCGCTGGAGCGAGATGACGTTCTCCACATCATGATGGTCCAGTCACGGATCATGTTCCATTCATTTCTTACACGAATTGTTGCGGGCGAGACACACAGCGCCCCAAACATCAGCCCAAGAGAAGCAGCAACAACACAGCAGTAGCAGCGAAATCAAAAGCGGAAGACCCGCATCGTTACCCTGACCCTAACGCTCTGCTCTGTGTTACCTCCCGATTTCAATTCCCACCGCCGCAAATGACGCATGTGTATGTATTCATGATACTGTGAGCATCTGAGCGGTTAAATCCGAACGAAGGATTATCGCAGAGGGGATTGGACTATAGCAGCCCCCCCCGAAATCCCGTCCCGGACGCGCCCGTTGTCTCTGCCAAACTTAGAGGACGCTGTTCACGAGGTCGACCAACAAGTGAGTGTTCATGAGGTGATTCAGGGATTGTGCGCAAAACCTCAACTAACTATTGCTTGCATAATAGGGATGACAGCAGTAAAATTTCCCCTCTGGTGCGCATGATATACTTCGTATCGAGGGAAGCTTGTAAAAATGTAGATTTTCCGATGTGTCCTTCTTATCATGCGCCGTCCGCTTGATCATGAATAATGAACACGGTAGGATGAAGGTAACATGGTTAGTTTTGTGGTTTGCATCAGTTTCCATCGGCCTATTGTATAAAACGCCGACGAGACAATTTTGCTGTGTGGTGAATATTGTTTCCTAAACACTACCCTTATTCTGCTGGTTGGTGCTGCAGAATGATGTTGCGCAGAAGGGGAAGCAGTCTTTCTTGTGAACTTGTAGTGAGGCCACGCTGTGGGTAGTACCAGCAGCGGCCGGGGTGGACATCAACATGTAGTAGTGAACGCTGAGTCCACACGTTCACAGACGCTTGAGATATAACATCAGCGCCCCCTCCTGCAGAACAAACTAACCTCTGTTGTTGGAGTTTGTGTGTGGGGTACATGTGGGGTAGCCGACCGACGTATGAATAGGCTAGATTTGGTGCATAGTCAATAGGAAGGCAGTTATTAGGGCGTCCTACAGAGTCTGTAGAACGTGGCGGTGCGCAAGGTCCTACGGCAGCAGCATGCGATCCCACCCACAGCCAGGTAGACACGGTACGCCCTCCGATTGGATGCGGGGCAATTTGAAGTCACCAACATGCCGTCTGATTGGAGGAAATTGCGGCGGAAATGGGACGAAAAGAAAGAATAAATAGGACTATAGTAGGTGTCCCGGTATACTGCCGGTATGTGTCCAGGGGGGGGTGGACCGGCACCAATCCGGCCACCGGCACTATCCAGAATTGTGCCTTTAGTACCAATTTCAGGGTCTAAAAATCCCTCAAAGGTGCCGGCACGATGTAGTGAGGCCCGTTCTGAATCAGGGTGCAGCGCTTACGTTTGTCGGGCTGACAGAGTACCAAACGAACGGTGTACGGATCAATTGTGAGGTGAGCGACGTGGGCGGGCTTCTTTAAGTTTCGGGAGGCTACATGTCGAAAAGACGGCTTTGGTCACATTAAGATTAACTTGACCAGATACATTTAGTTGTTACACCATTGTTTGTTCTCTTCCCACCTCAGCGCACACACTAAGGTAGAGAAGGTCGCCGCTGCCTTTAAACGGTAGAAGACCGTGCTGCCCGATTAAAAGGTACGTCGCTATCGAATGATGTAACGTTGTGGCAAGAAGGCCGGAGCACTATTCAGGCAACCTCAAAGCAAGGCACCCCTCGACAACGAAAGAAAGACACTCATCGTGCACGCACCCGATGTATATTCGGACGTACAGCATGGACGGATGTTGTGCTCCTTACATGATGAGCACAACAAGAGCAGGCGCAATCCAAAGGAGTGAAGAAGATAACAAACTCCCCTGCTCCTTCGATAAGAAGCTAGAGAGAAGACAATGCCTTCAGAAGCGAGAAAAACGACTGGCCAACCAAAAGACGTCAGCCTCAGTGCGGTTGAAAACAGAAAATATATGTTTCTCAAGGTCCTGATCTGGGACCCCGTGAGAGGGTGTCGTGAGGAGGCTGAGTTATTCTCCGGATAAAAGACAGAAACGGTAGCAACAGAGGAGAACTGCGAAGTACTTTGAACACGCGTTCGTTTCGGAGTGTTTTCATCCTTATCCTTGTATTTACCACCACTACTCTCATCACAAATATTTCCACTATTTTTCGGGCGTTCATCTCTAGACTTGCCCCCTTCGGCGTTTGTTGTGAGGAAGGTCATCTCGCTCGAAACTCTTGTTGTTCCCCTCAACGCCGTATTTTCCTCCTCCATCATCACTGCTATCCTTCGGCATTCTTCCCTTTCCAACTCCTTCGTCACTACCACCACCTTCCTTTTCGCCCGCCTCACTGCTGAAATCCCAACCTATTGGCTAAATTTTGCTGTGGTGGAATTTGATCGATCGGTAAAATTTGACAATTGAAGACGTCACGAGTTCAGAAACCGAGCGATACTTGTAGCTCGAAGGCAAACCGTCTCCGAATCCTGTTGGTGTGGAAGGCTTGAGGCGAAAAAGGCTGTGTATGGGGTGTGAACCGGCACTATTGAGGGGTTCGGTAGTGCCTGAACCGGCACTACAGCGGGCAACCCTCAATAGTGCCGGTTTGGCACTATTGAGGCCTATGTCTGTGTCAAAGAAAACTTACCGGCACCGTACGACTTTGGCACTATTCAACCGGCACTTTACCAGGACACCTATGTCTTCTGTAACACACATCCCTTCAACTGGGGCTCGTATCACTATCTTGAACAAGCAGCCCTCTTCAGTGTGGTTTAAATCGTTCATGTTGCGATTGTTCCAGTGTCCCTCAATGTTGTGTATGTAAATGTTATATCTATCTGGCCACCAAGGGTGTTGCAGCGGATTCCTGCGCCTGCTGAGCCTGCCTGGCGGCAACCGCAACCATGATGCTCTCTCATGGTGAACAGTACGTATCGAGCTGGCATTCATTCCTCGAGGGGGTCAGGAATTCCTGGCCACAGCGACCCGCCTTGAGGAATGGATGCCAGCTCGATGATAGTGTTCATGCGCAACAGGGGAGCGTTATGTGCCTGCCCGTGGTCGTCGCGCGGGCCCAGACGCACTGTAGGAACCTGCGGATACATTCTTTGGTGCTCAGGTCGATCGAATAGATAGATAGATTGGGGATGGGCGGTGGTGGCGATCGTGCCCTCGAGCGCGCGACCGCGGCCATACAGAAAGAAATGATGTTACCGCCTGATGAAACCCGCGAAGATGCCGCTGCTATATACTGCATCGGACACGTCAAGGGCGCCCGTTACACGGATGTGCAAAACCAGACACAAACCTCTCTGTCTCCTCTGCACGTGCTATATCTAGCAGGCTCAGCTCCTTGACCGACGGACAGACGGGCGGGAGGAGCGTCCCGGAATAAATAAATATATCCCAGTCCTGCAATACATCTCATTGGTCAACGGGGCAACTATTCTTCAGCCAGCTGCAGAACGCGCACTGCCTAGACGTACTATATTGGGACGTATGCATACTACGCAGTCTGAAAGTAAATCTACCGTACCTTATATACCATTGACGCTGCCGTGTGGCCCCAACGAAAAAACCGCTTTATTGTCCTTTTGTGTTAGGGGGGACGAAGTCACCCCCCGCCCCCCCCGGACGCCTTCTTCCAGGAGCCCCCTTCTTCTTGCCCAAAAACAAACCCCTTCGCCTGATCTTCGCTTCCCCGGCACCCAAGCACGTGCACCGACTACTGCTCTAGCCCTGGTCGCCACCCGATATGCATGCACGGCTCAACCGAAGCGCGTGGTCTTCTGATGAGACGAGCGCACTCACTTGAAGAATATCTGTCGTTGATTTCCATTGACTTGCGGACCCCTCGGGGCCAGTTTGTTCGAGCGTACCTTTTTAGGGTTAGTTAGCCTGTGACCACGGGAATCGACCGCGTCAAGTGTTGGATCAGTACGGACATATGAAGGTACTGGGTAGATAGAGATCGGAACGGTTTTTAATGTGAAGACAACAACAACAACAACAACAACGCACTTGATATTAGAACTACAACATCACCCGTTGGAGAAAAACCACACACAGTCGTCCCAAGTGTTGAAGTCTTTTGAAAAAACATACTGGGTTCTGGGCTTACTCTGAGTTTATGACTACAACGTTGAATTATTTTACTCTAATTTTTTCCACCCGGCGACGAGACCCCTCTTGGCGGTGCCCCCCCCCCGTCTAGGAGCCCCGCATCTATCTGTCGGAGGGGTACCCTACAGTTAGCCGCAGCACTTCACAACCTCCTGTTTTGGCGAGGGTCGTTCCTCGATTCCCCTCAAGGGAACCGAACAGCGACAATATACGTTTTTTAGTATAGGATTCTTGACTGAGAACCTGTGCTAATGGCCAAGTTCTTAATCTCACTTGTTTCTTAGCCTAAATGCGACAAATGTATAATAAATGTTAGATGTCTTTGCTCAAAAGAACTACAGCAGCACACACCCCCTGATTTTATTTTTTTTAAGTTCGACAGCTCTACTGTGTGTATTTGGTAGGTGTCTCGTTTTCACTTTTCTTTCGAGCACCCTCGGATAGGGGGGAATACGATCCCTCGTCAAGTCTGGTGCTTACCTGTACATGTGACGTTTCGCGTACGTTTCACAACCACAACGCTAAGCATGTTTTTGTTTTTTGTGTATGTTCTGAGCTGCCGTCGCCACGTTTTTGTTGTTGTTGTCGAACCCCAGTAGAAAGGATAAGAAGGAGCACCTTCCTGCGCGATCCACGGCTACAACAACAGCATCGACGGTCGACAGTAGATACTGCGCGAACACATTTCGACTAAGGAGGAGAACACGTAGAACGAAAACCACACACACACGGCGACAAGGAATAAGACTGACATGGGGACTCCCGTTCGCGCTGCCGTCGGGAGGCTGAGGGCCCTAGGACCCCACGCGAGCGGTTTCGCCGATTATCTCTCCTGCAATACCAAGGTAAGAAAAAGAAGCAGACTGCTATCATACTGTAGTGTATGGAGAGAAAAATCCCTGTGTCAAGACAAGTGAGTGGGTAGGTCACTTGCCTCTTGCTGTGCTTTCACCGCTGCTTACACCGCACAATGAGTGTTTGGCTTGTGTGAAGAGGTCGTGGAATGGTTGTTGTTTTTGAACAACAGCGGCAGCGTTCGCGGTCGGTGTGGACACACGCATGCAGCGTGTGCTCGTATGGTGTACGAGATCGACGGATGCGAAATTGAAACTTCGTAGGGGCCAGGAGCAGACGCCGTACGCTTGACAGACTTGCAAAGCTCGATTACTCCACGACGAAGAGGATGCTGGGATGAAATGGTGTGTTTTTTGTCGGAAAGCTCTCATGGAGACGGTCCCACCGCACCCACTTTCGGCACCGTCCATGTTTGTTGAAAATTTATCCCGGGGGTGTGGTATCTTACGCAACGTGCGGCTGTGAATATTCTCGTTGCGCACGCCTTGTCGTGGGTACGTCGAGCGCGCGGCTTGGACTGCAGCCAGCCTTGCTAGAGAAGTATATCGGTAGACCATATGGCCTGCTCTGCATTCCCTCTGCGCTTCTCGACCCACTACTGCTGTAGCTCTCACCGTTTGCCCGGCCGACCGTGTCAGCAGCAGCCGGTGGCCGTGACGCTTTCTCAACACAGAGACGAGACGGGAGACGCGCCGGGTTGCTTTTTTGTTAGGCGGGCGCATTGCGGCGGCGTCAGCCAAAACGCACCCAGTTACAATACAGTATTGCAACGCACGCAAACGGCGACGGACCCCTGCCCCGCTTTTCGTGGACCCCACCGTCAGGTGTTATGTTTGTGTTGGGGCAACATCACACCTACGGCGACACAGCGTCCGGTCTCTTGTGTGTGTGTCTGTCTTTGTAGGGCTTCCTGGCGGCCAACGAAGAAATTTCCGAGAGCTTTCCCTTGGTGGCGAGGAGGAGCGGCGCGAAGGGCTATGGGTTGCTTTGCGGGCCACGCCCTGCAAGGTAAGAAACGGATAGCATGAAAAATGAGTACCTTCCTAGTGTGTTTAGCCTTTTCCCATAATGGCGTGGCCGGGCGAACCAGCGTGATGACATAATAGTGGCAAGGGTGGTGGCGATGAAATTGATCTGGTGCTAGTGAGTGAACGTTGTGTCTACTGGAAAACATGGTCTCCTTGTCGGTGTCATTTTGTGTTGGGATTGGCAGATTTTCCGCGGTGTGTACCCCGAACCTTTTGTACCCTTTTTTTTTTGTTCTTGTTGGCCTGTGACCGCGGAAAGAAAGACCTTCGCCTTCAGTTAGACCGGTTCGGATGTTAGACTAGGCGGGTACCGTGCAGAGACCGGAACCGTTGTTAAATGTGAAGACGTCGACGACAAACTACAGCAAGACGTCTTTGATACCCCTTGCGAGCAGACAGAGAAGAGGTTGTACTAGCCTGCGGTTGTCACCGAAGCCTGACTGCCTCCTCCTCCGCACGCCCCAATGCTCTGTGCCCGTGGAAAGGGCGGGAGAGGAATTGCTTCGAGTGCCTCCGGCGGTGTGGCTCCCTTACTGCGCAGAAGCAGCCGTTCGAAAGGTGATGCCTGTGGAAATTAACGGAAAGGCAAAGCAGCAGCATCAGCAGCAGCAGCAGTACCTCGCAGTGTTAGGCAGGAATTGATTGGATCATGACAAGAACGATGGCAGGGCGATCACAGCAGCAGTGCATTCTCGCTCTCTGAAAGCGCAGTTCAACCAGCCAACCCAAATTTTTCATCTCTTCTCTGGTTTGTCGTTGCAACCCCTGTCGTGCTGTTCAGGCCGAAGCCGGTGCTCCCGACTTTCTGGCACGTCTGAGCAATACCTGCGCCAAGATTGGAGGAGGGGACGCGTCTAAGGTGGCCCCGGTGGCCTGTCTCGCTCTCGAGCTTCTGTTCACCCTCGAGAGGTGCCACCACATCCCTTGTATGCGTACTTCGGTCAATAGCCGTCGGTGCTTTTCCTACGTGCCGAACATTTTGTGCGACCAGTCCAGATTGTTTTTTTCTGATGGAACGTTTCGGCCAGAACCGGGGTTGCGAGCAGGATGCGAAGAAGCCGGCCGCCCCATGGTGTTTTTCACGCGCGCGCCACCGTTATCTCGTGCAACAACTATTCCCGCCCCGTCCCCTCTTGGGAGAATTGCGAAGATTGTGTTCACCCCCCAGTACAGTATCGAAAAAGAAGCGGGCGAAACCTTCGAGAAAAGGCACGACAACGGTGCAAGGTACGATACTTGCACAGAAGGAAGAAAATCGTCATAATTGTCCGTCCCCTAGGCATGACATGTCTGGTTTGGTATTGACACACCAAAAACAAGGATGGTGAGCAACTTCTGGCTCATCCTTGTCAGACGTTGTAGCCTGGGCCGGCGACAACCCGGCACACTGCCCCGTCCCGACATGGTAGAGATGCGAGGTCAATGGCCTAAACGACTACGGCATGCGCTTACATGAGGTACTGCCCGAGCTAACTGACACGTAGGTACGTGCTCGGGTGTCCTGCCACCACAACCCTCCTCTCTTGCCTTTCTCTTCGCCTGCTCTTATCAGGGATGCGCGAGAGCCATACCTGGGGCTGCTGTGGGAGGCGTCTGCCTCGGAGGATGCGTTGCCTCACCCGCTGCTCATGGGACCGGAGCACCTGGATCTGCTTCAGGTGGGGACGGACACACGCGCAGAAGCCGGCGTGTCGCTGATTCACTCTCACAGGTATTAGTTGGCCACCCCGTCATGCTTGCCCCCGGCGGATGGGAACTAACGTTAACGCTAACGTTGCTTGGTGCGGAGAAGCCGGCTCACAGCGCGCTTCGTGCCGAAGAAGTGGAGCCCGGTCGTTCTCGGTGGCTGTAGAGAGCAAGCAAGGACTGCAGAATAATGGCTGCCCCGTGAGGGTTAAAAAAAAAATCAAATGACTACCGATCTATCGATGCGCTTGCTTTGCGCAAAGAGTTAGGCCTAGGGAAGCGGTACTACTCCGCCAGCGAGCTCGCCTGCTGTTCTAGCCCGCTGTGCCTGTCGCCTTCGAACGCGCGGTGGTCCCCCCTCCCTGTCTTCAGGGCTGGCCGTCCGTGTACGGGCCTGTCGCTGGTACTGCAGCAGCTGCTGCTGCTGCTGCTGCTGTTGCGCCTCACAGAGAGCTCGAATGGTCCACACCCTAGGAAACAAATCTCGAAGACTGACCCCGCACCCAGAACTCAGATAATCGTGTTTCAGGAAACCTCTCGATGACAAGGGGGACGACGATTCCAATAGCGCTATTCTACGCTTGCGCATGCTGCTGAGATTGGGGCACTTTTCGCGTTGAAAACTTGACCCCAGGCTGCAGCAGCAGTTTAGTCGTTCCTCGCTGCCGACCAGGGGAGATCGTCCATTCGTGTGTCTTCCGTGAAGGTCGTCACCTGTGCTGTAGCGCTCTTGTAGCTACTGGAGGTCGTGTCTCTCGCTACAAGACGTCTTTGCACGCCACGTACATGCAGGATAGCATCACACTTGTTTGTCGGTTGCCCGGGGGCTAAGTTGACGCCATTTGCCGTTGTCGGGAGAATCTTGCCCCTAACGTTGCCTCGTTTTCTGCCCGCCTTTTTCGTTTGTTTTTTTTGTTTTTGCTTGAAGGCTAGCCCCTTGCGCGATTCCATCACCGCCGCCTCCGAGATTTACAGCACTCTGCATCGAAGACTCTTCGGCCTGGAGGGGGGTGATGCCGACTCCTCGTCTCGAGGGGGGGTGCATCACGGTGAGTTTTCGAGAGACACGCTTGGTTGTGGAAAATTGGCCCAGGGTTTAGTTTGGCGTTAACGCCTTCCTTCCTTCCTTCCTTCCTTCCTTCCTTCCTTCCTTCCTTGTGCTTTTCTCTCTTTCTTCCTTCGCCCCTTGCCGGAGATGTAGCCCAGCCATACTGTCACGCCCGCCCGTTTATCTCGGAGGAGAAATGTGTGTGATGTACCTGAACGCTGGCACCCTACTGATTTCCGCTTCCGCTAGGCGCCATAGGGAAGGCCGGTACTAACCTTGCGTGGCAACATTCCACCGGCACCCCCGTTACCCCCGATTTTCCCTTCCCTCCCCCCCTGCTTGGCGCACGGTCCGCCTCTTGGACCCCTCTCGCAAATTAAAAAAAACACATTGCCGACCTCCTGCAACCGAAACCGAAACATGTGCCACCGCATGGTCCCCGTCGCATCAGCAGGAATAGAAGCATCACCGTCAGCGTCAACGACGACGGATTTCCTGTGGGCTCTGGGCGTCATCCTATCGAGGGGCGTCTCCGAGGAGGGCGCGGGTGGGGTAGGCCTGGTGCCCTACCTGGACTTCGCCAACCACGGCGACGGAGGGAGAGGAGGAGGCGTTGCGTTGGGGGACGGGGGCGCCTCCTGCGAGAGAGGTTTCGACCCGGCGACCGGGAGGCATGTTCTTCGGGCCCTGCGGGACATCGCGCCGGGTGAGCGGATTTCAATTTTTCCGTGTTTGTGCATGTGTCCCTGCAACTCACCCTTCCATCCCCCCCACGTGAGGAGGCGACGTTAACCGCGGTACGTGTTGGCATCCATTGACACACACTTGAACGGGCATGGTTGCCGTCCTCCAGAGGTCTCAAGCGGAGACTGAACAAGAGTTCGAGCTTTCGGATTTTTCCCTCGCCTCGCGCAGGGCTCGTGTACCCGTTCGTGCGTGTTGCCGCAGGCCTTGCCCCGACGTTGGGTTGATTCTTCTCCCCCGCACCTTGCTTGCTTGTCCTTGGAACCCAAGGCCGCAAGCAAGGGATGCGCTGGCCGTTGATTGTCCATACACTGTAGGCAGGTCGGTAGGCAGGAGGTTGCTGAGTTCCATATGCGCGCCGTTCTCTAGGGGCGTGTTGCATACGCAGAACCCCGGCGCGAGTTTCTAGGTTTAGCCCGATGAATCCCCGTCACAGTCTGCCCCCCCCCTCCCCGCGCGAGGTCTGCTTTAAGAATTTTCCTCGCGTTGGCGCGGATGCCGATCACCGCCGTATGGTATGTGTTGTGTTCTACCTCGCAGGAGAGGAGCTCTTGATCGACTACGGGTCGGCCGCGAAAGGAGCATACCGGTTCGCCAGGACCTACGGTTTCGTCAACTTCCGCCACACCACCACCGGCGGCGGCGGCAGCAGCAGCAGCAGCAGCGGCAGCAGCGGCAGCAGCAGCAGCAATGCCGGCGACAATGGCGAGCCCTCCAACGACGACGGCGAAAAGGGCGGCGGCGGCGGCGGCGGCAGTGACGACGACGGTGGGAACAGGGGGCGACGGCTAAGTGTCGGTATCCCGTCCGGCTCCGATTCTCTCCGCGTGCATGTGGGCTTATCGTCCCCCGCCGGACAAGAACAGAAGGAGCAGCAGCAGCAGCAGCAGCTGGTCGTGCCAGTGAGGCTCGCGGACGTAGCAGCAGCAGCGGCAGCAGCGGCGTTCGATGAGCAAGCCCTCGAGGAACCGAGCCGGCGTTTGTTGAGACCAGAAACTGACCGAGAAGAAGAGGCCGCCGACGGTTTTTCCGGTGCTGTGGCGGCAACCGCGTTCGCGGCGGGAGCAAGAACGGCGGCGCCGGCGGCGCCGGCGCAACCAGGCGCAGGGGTGGCGGTTGCCACCGCCGAGGTTGAGGCTCTCGAGGAGCGGTTGCGCCGCTACCCCACCACCTGCCAGGAGGACTTGGAATTGCTCGGGCTCGTCGCTTCCGACGGGACGGAAGAAGATAACTCGGCAGGCGGAACGGGGGGGACCCGTCGGGCGGTGCCGGCGGAGTGGGCGGAAACGTGCATCTCCTTGCGGGCGGCCGAGAAAATCGCTCTCCAGCGGGCACTGCGCGCGGCAAGGAGGCGTCGGTGATCGGCTGGCTGGCCTCCCGTCCGTGCATGCATACAAAATATGTGGTTTGATGCCTCCCAGAGGAACGAAACGCCCGCCCCCAGCATGCCGCGTTCAAGCACCGTGCTCCTTGCCTTGTCTTGCTGATAGATTTGCTAGAGTCATGAGTGGCGACGAGAGTGAAGGAAGAGGGGCGATGCACAGCAGCTGGTGCCGCTTCTATCTCTTTACAGTGGGGGTCTCGGTTTAGCAACCCCGTACTTATTTAGCGACATGCCCTGTTTAGCGACCACAAAATCACGTGGCACCGCCGCACCCCGGTAGTATAACTGCTATGCTACATAATTGTTGGTTCGGTGTGTCGAGCTGCCCTGATTGGCGACCGTGTTTCGTCGTGACACTAAGGGTCGCTAAACCGGCCCCCCACTACTGTATTTTTGTCCCCACCTTCTCATCTCTGATCTCTCATCTGCACGGAGAATTTCTCATTCGATAGAGTCAGAGCCATCGGGTGACGCTGAGAAAGAGAAGTGATGCACACCAGATATCGTTCTCTCATTCTGGATTTTTCCTTTATATTCGTGTACCAGCCTCGTATAAATTACCAAACCTCGATTCTCTTTGGAAATATCGAGCCGCCGCAACACCAACTACTGGTGCCTAAAAAAAAACAAAAAAAACAACCACGTTCGCGATCACCCAAGTTCCCCCCCCACCCACCGAGCTCTCTCTTCGCAATGGAAGAAGAGCGACGTAAAACAGCCTCCTCGCCAGACAAGCGTAAAAACACGCGCCAAGAGAAAATGATACACATGACGCTACACGTCTCGAGCCCCGTCCCTTCCCATTCCGTTCCGTCCCGCCAAACAAATACCATACCATACCATACCATACCACGTCCCGTCCCACCAGGCAAGTACCACGAAGACAAGCAAGAACAACGACGAAAGGGGTGAAAGGAGTACTGTACACAACGAACAGAGGAGCAGGAGCAACGAGGTGAAGACCTATGTATGCCAAGACTTATCCCCCATCAGTCCCTACCTCCTTTTAATAACTTGAGAAGAAGATGCAAAAACCCAAAAAAACAACTGAAGAAAAAATCTCGTGCCCAGCTCACGGGTTCCCTGCTGGGAGCACACGAACCAACCACACCGCGATGCTGCCGCACGGACGCTTGCAGCTCTCCTCTAACGAATGATGCATGACCAACGCATGACCCAACACAGACAGCACAAACGCGCGTTCACCACCACATAAAAAGTCCACATTTTCTGCCCGACTGCCCAACAAAGCCGAGCGAGATACGTGGCAACCCTTTTTTTTTGTTCAGGGCTTCTCCGTGCCCTCCCCCTCCCGCAACCCCCCACAAATATCACCCTCTTGATGCACACACAGCAGTATATACCACAATAACCAAGATAACACACCCGCAGCACGTGACACGTGACTCGCAGATGACGACGCCTGCCCGAGGTTGGACGCGGTGGCTGGAACGATCCTCCCGCTGGATTCGGCCGGCAGAGCCAGCCTGCATCTAACCCGCCCGACAAGGCTCCGCCTCTGCCCCGCTCAAGCATTTCGAAAGTCCTCTAGCCAAACTCCGAGTTACTATTAGTTCCTGGGAACTTTACCCCCCCCCCCCCCCCCCCCCCCCACCGTCAC